CCGAGTTAGACAGATGTGGATTCAGTTATTGGTTTTGCAGGGCGGCCTCAGAAAGGTGACTTCACTATCCTGAGCCTCTGTGTTAGAGTCGTTGGCGGGCTTTGTAGGAAAGCACGCCTGCCTGTGTGTGAGCTCTCTGGCACGTGAGACTGCCCTGTGAGTGGAGGACATGCGATGATGCTGTCATTGGTGGATGTTGTCATGGCTCCTGGTTTTTTGGAGAGTGCTCGTTGGATTAATGAGTGAGTGAAGTGATTTTATCTGGACACGTGCGGTGCCAGGAGATGGAATGGGTGCAGGAAGCACCCAGCCAAAGCAGCACCTGCAGGGAAAGCACTCGGACATTCTGGGCCAGCTCCTTCTTTGCTGGGGACTGTCCTGGTCTCTGTAAAGTGCGTGGCAGTCCCCTGGCCTCTGTCCACTAGGTGATGGTAGTGACAATGGAAAGTGTCACAGACATCGCCAGATGTCCCTTCCAGAGAATACAGCCACTCCTGTTGGGAACCGCTTCCCTAAGTAACGAAGAGAGGCAAGGGGGTGACAAATTCCTGTTACGTTTCTCATTTAGATTTATAATCTTTGATGAAGTCATTTTTAATACAGTAATTACATTTCCATGCAATAAAATTTGCAGGATTCAGAAGTCTGTTTAGTGAAAATAGACCCTCTGGGGCCAGTGCCATGGCTCACTTGGTTAATCCTCCACCTTGCGGCACCGGCATCCCATATGGGCACCAGGTTCTAATCCCGGTTGCTCCTCTTCCAGTCCAGCTTTCTACTGTGGCCCGGGAGGACAGTGGAGGATGGCCCAAGTGCTTGGGCTCCTGCACCCACATGGGAGACCAGGAGGAAGCACCTGGCTCCTGGCTTCAGATCAGCGCAGCACCAGCTGTAGCGGCCATTTGGGGAGTAAACCAACGGAAGGAAGACCTTTCTCTCTCTCTCTCTCTCTCTTACTGTCTATAACTCTACCTGTAAGAAAGAAAGAAAGAGAGAGAGAGAGAGAGACGGAGGGAGGGAGGGAGGAAATAGACCTCCTCCTTTTGTCACCCAGCGAGAGAGAGAGAGAGAGAGAGAGAGAGAGGGAGGGAGGGAGGGAGGAAAGAAGGAAGGAAAGAAGGAAGGAAGGAAGGAAATAGACCTCCTCCTTTTGCCACCCAGCCTTGCTGCCCATCTCAGGAGAGCCTGGGACACAGCTTTCTCCTGCCTCGCTGGAAGTGGGGCCCTCACAGAATCCAGTCTCTGAAGGGAAGGGGGAGATCCCGCTGTACCTGGGCAGGGGAGCGGGGTCTGAGCGTGCTCCCTGGCTGAGGGTAATGATGAGCGTAGAGGAAAGGAGCAAGTGCAGGAGAGCGGGTGTGGCTGCAAAAGGACCTCAAGAGAGAGGAGGATTTGCCGAGTGCCGGGGCGGTGGTGGGGGCCTCCCAGGTGCCGGTACAGGAGCTCAGCAGCAGTAAACAGGAGGCGGCCTCTCGAGCCCCTGCCTTCCTGAGGGGATGCTGTGGAAGGGGAGATACGCTACCGACGCCTAAGGAGGGAGAAGTAGCGCGATTCCAGCTGCAGGGGGTGACTGAGCTACAGCAGGCAAACCTGCTGGGGTGTGGCGACGGCTCTGGGTGCTTGGGGCTGGCCTCAGCCAGGAGTGTCACGGACAATCTTTGCAGACAGGCTGGGACCCTCAGGAGGAAGGGAAGGGCAGATGGTGACCTTGGAGGAAGGGCTCCCAAGCAGGAGGCCCGGAAGGTGTCCTGAGAAGGCACTTGGCTTGAGCAGTGCAGAAGACCCAGAAAATGAGAACAAGGCTGGCAGTGGAGTGGGCAGGGCCAGGGCGGAAGGCAGGGGTGAGGCTGTGGGGGCTGCCAGGCCATGGAGAGGAGTCAGGATGTCATGCTGGGTGTGACGGAAGACCATCGGAGGGTTTCCCACCTGCACGGCCGGGCCCTGCTTTGTCCTTTCATGAGACCACTCTGCGTGCTGAGTGGCAGGGAGACGGACAGTGAGAAACAGGTGGTGGCTGCCAGAGGCTGGTGAGGAGCTGCTTGTGCCCATCTGTGTGTATGCAGAAGGTGACAGTGGCCTGGACTGGGAGTGCAGTGGGAGGCCCTGGGGACGGGTGCTTCTGCACGAGGTCCCTGCTGGACGGGCGTCTCAGCTGGAGTTCAGGGCAGGAATCTGGGCTGGAGTTACGCACAGGACAGCCATCAGCTTATGGTTAGTGTCCAGGTGTCACGAGCCCCTGGGGCTCAGGGCTGCAGAACATCCCCCTTCATGTTTGAGGTGGGTAGGAGGGAGGAGCCTGGGAAGGAGTCTGGGCACTCCGCCTTGGGGCCATGAGCTGGGCTGAGAACAGGAGTCAGCCCTGGGGTGCAGCAGAGCACCAGGGCCCAGCCTGGAGAGCGAGCGAGCCTCTGTGCAGTGGGGCTTGTGCCTGGGCAGAGTTTAGGAACTGGGGTGGGGCGTCTAAGCATTCAGTTTAAAATTTGTATTAGTTTACCAGGATTTCTTGTATTTCCTCTATATTAGTGCATTATCTTGATAATGTCTTAGTAGATTACATTGTGCACAAATTTCATTTGGGAAAAAGCCATGAGAGTACTTCAAAAAGAACATGGAAAAATGAAATTGAAAGCTGAGTTTATTTTAGTGCAAACATTTTTGAAACTCTTGCACAGTTTCTCCATTAAGCTGTAAAAGGCTGTGGTGGAACAGGGCTGAGACTCGAAGCTGCAGAGGGGGGAAGGGGTGGTCTCTGAAGGCAGAGCAGAGCCTCACCCACAGACGGGCTCAGCCCGGGCCAGGATGGGTGCAGATGCAGGGCGTTTGGTGGTGAAAGACTTGAGGAAGGGGGTTCTTCCCTTTGTTCTCATCATGCAGAAGGAGATAGGAGCTCGTGTTGTGACTGAAAGAGGAAGTTGAGGATAATGTTTCGTGGGATGGGACGGAGAGTGGCCAGGACTTCTGCATAATTGGAGGGAGTGGCCTGGGAAATCCTTGAGGTTGGACACAGGGCAGTGAAAACACGTCACAGTTTTGTGATTTGCCTCCGCATCCTGGGATCAGGGCAGCTGGGTTGACTGTGGGCTGTGGGTTCCCCATGCCAGTCAAAGAGAAAGAGAAGTGGTCGTGGATGTGGAGAGGTTTGCCAGTAGAAGTTTGAGAGTTTGGGCTCTGCAGTGTAGGCCTTTTGGAGAGGGAGGCAGAGATACAAGGGGAGGACTGGGGACAAGCAGCGGATGGTGCCAACTGGAAATTCTCAAGAAACAGAAGAAACATAGTGAAAGTAAGAGAGACCAGAGTGCTGGCAGGTATCAGAGTGGGACAGAGTGCATCCCCAGGCATGGGGGTAATACTCAGCTGAATGAATAAGACTTCATAAATCATGTAGGGGTAGGGAAGGCTAGTGAGGTAGAAGGGCACAAAATACCATCAGGTTAGTGCATTAAAATCAACTAATAGGGGCCGGTGCTGTGGTGCAGCAGGTTAAAGCCATGGCCTGCAGTGTTAGCATCCCAAGTGGGTACCGGTTTGAGTCCTGGCTGCTCCGCTTCTGATCCTGCTCCCTGCTTATGCTCCTGGGAAAGTGACAGAGGATGGCTCAGGTGTTTGGGGCCCTGCTACCCATGTGGGAGATCCGGAGGAAGCTCCTGGCTCCTGGCTTTGGCCTGGCCCAGTCCCAGCCATTGTGGACACTTGGGGAGTGAACCAGTGGATAGAAGATCTTTCTCTCTCTGTCTCCTTCTCTCTCTCCGTAACTCTGCCTTTCAAATAAATAAATACGTCTTCAAAAAATTTTTAAAAAATCAGCTAATACTGTGGACTTTGAGTGGAGGGTTTCACATGTGGCATTGTGGGCCGGAGGAGCAGACCTGGGAGATGCTCCCATTTGGGGGGGGGGGGGGCTTTGCCGCCCTGGCCCGGCTTCTTCGCCTCCTGGAGCTCTGTTCTTGAATGTAAGCAGCCCCGACTTGAGAGAGCCTGGCAGAGAACAGTTCAAGGTGGAATGGGGAGGAGCAAGCTCTCTGTGGTCAGGTCCCTGTTGGGCCTAGTGTTGCCTGCGAGTCCTGAGATAGCGGAGGAAACCCAGAGTGGAATCAGGCGTAGGGCAGGAAGGCCCAGGAGCACCAGGTGCAGTGGCCGCTGACCTTGGGCAGCCTCAGGGCTCCGGATAACTGCAACAGGGCCTTTGGTGAAGATGCTTCCTGCCCACACCCAGTTAGGGCAGAGGCCTTGTGGGGCCAGGGCACAGCCCGAGCCTGCCCAGTAGGACAGTGGTATGGTGCCAGGGCCGTGGTTAGCTTCCCGGGCCGGAGCTTGGTTCAGAAGGCCCTCCTTGTCCAAAGAGCCTCCCGTTCCATTCCTGCTTCTGATTCCGTGTTAGGAAGATGGTCTTCCGTGCAGTTCTCCAGGTTTTGTTCGTTTCTTTATCCTTTAAATTTTTTTTTTAACCTGGAGTTTTATATTCTCTTCATCTAAGCATCTAAGCACTTCCCAGAACTTATGAAAAATTTGATCAGCTCAGTAAATAGTGACAAGTCAGGATGTGAGCAGCTTCTGTGTTTGTTCTACACTGGGACATTCGTGTGATTTAAACCAGGGAGCAGGTGACTGAGAGCGGGGCTCCTGCCCTTCGTAGTTTAGGACAAAGGAGATTGAGGAAAAACAGCCACTGACCTTCAGTTATTTTTTATTTTTCTTGGTTTCTCAATTAATTTGTTATTTACGAATAAAGCATAAAAGGATGATTTGAACCGCGTATCTGCTTGGCCAAGGGAGTTATGCTACACGTCCTATTTCTCAGTGACATTTAAAATATCAAGCACTTATTTGGCTCTCTGCAAATGTTTGTCCAGTAAATGAAAAAGGCACATTAAACTTGAGTCTGTGCTCTGAAAACAGATGCGGCTGCTGTCCTGCTGCAGGACTCAGGGAGCTGGCAGTGAAGGATGGTGCCAGAGACAGAACCCCCGTTTCCTAGATCTGACCTCTGTCTGTGCTTGCAGGTGGTTTGAAGTGTCCTGTGTGCAGCTTTGTATATGGCACCAAGTGGGAGTTCAACCGGCACTTGAAGAACAAGCATGGGCTGAAGGTGGTGGAGATTGACGGAGACCCCAAGTGGGAGGTAACGTTTCAAAGTGCGGTGTTGATCTTGACGTTTCTAAGCACCAGTGGCAAACCAAGCAAGCCCAAGGCCTGGGTTTTCTGGGAGAGATTCCTCTGACTCCTTTCCCACCGAGTCTCGTGTCTGAGGATCCAGTGGGGTGAGGTCTGGGCCACACATGTGGTTCTCATCCTGGATTGAGAGCAGCCTGCCTTGTGAGTGTATGGGTCTCACTTTTCCTTGTTACCCGCATCTGAAAGAAGAAGAGAAGGCAGGGGGTCTTCTGTCCTCCCACCGCACTTTCTGGCTCCGCCTGTCCCTCTGCTGAAGGCTTGGGCTGCTGCATTCTCCATTAGGACTGCAGTGAGTCTCCTGGCTGAGGATCCCTGTGTGTTGTGAGAGCCAATCACCGTCTCTCTTAAATGCCGAGTGTCACGACCGTGGACTGCAGTTCCCTGAGCCAGGGTTTCTCAGACTCAGTGCCGCTGAGGTTTTGGCCTGAATACTTCGTGGTTGGAGAGAGCTGCCCTGGGTCTTCCAGGGGGGTTGGCTGCCTTTCTGGACACCTCCCGCTGTATAGTAACAGCATCAGCCCTACCCTTGACCCCCACTGTGACAAGCAGGGACGCCTCCACCTTCCATGTTCACCATTCCCTGGGGTCAAAGTGCCCCCCCCCCCAGTTGATCTAAGGACTTACAGAGCACCCAGTTGCCAAACGTGAGGGCTCGTTAACAAACCCCCCAGCTCATGAAAAGAAAATGCTGCCTCATGATGTGGGCCGCAGGGGAAGGGTGGTTTAGTCAGAGGCCGTGTGCTAGTGCAATCCCTCACTCGCACAGAAATGAGGGAGGGAAGTGAAATGATGAGCCTCACAGACGCAGAAGAGCCGCCTGACAAAACTCGGTCTTCACTGACTCAAAGCAGTCCATAGAGCAGAGTGTGATGGATAGATCCTGGAAAAACGCCCCTGTCTCAAGCCAGAGGCCAGTGTCTCCTTCACCGGGAAACACTCGAGGGTTTCCGGTGGAAGTCAGAAACAAGGCAAGGGTGCCCAGCATCTCAGCACCCTTGCCCATCGCGTTGGGGGCATCAGCAAGATACACAGAAGGTAGAGTACATGGAAGGTAGCGAGATAGGCAGGGCTATGGAAGGCAGGTAGAGGGAGAGAAAATTAGACAGATAATGGAAGATAGATCTATAGATAAGCAGGGAGGGGAAAGCAAAAAGGCAGGAGGACGTGTGTATCAGGACAGAGAAACAACCTAAAAGGAATTCTCAGTGGCCAAGGCCAGGAACAAGTGGAGTAACAAATATTGATAGTATTGGATTATAACTCATAGAACAAAATAAATAGCCACGTGTCCCTAATGTCACCTATGAACAGTTAGACCTTGCGCCATCGTGTCAGCTCTGTGGCCTTGGTATTCTCGTGCATACCGGAGGCTGACAGATGCGAGTACCCGAGAGGTTGAAGGGGTTGACAGAACCGTGCGGTGCTGAGGCTGGAAGCGGCCCCCAGTGAGTCCTTGGAAGCTGCAGTTGCTGCGATGATTGTTGATGTTGATGGCGGCTTCACACCTCCATCTGGAAAAACAGTCCCTGGTGTTTGTAGCTCCTGCTGCAAGAATTCCTAGACACTGGAATGCCAACTCCTGATGTAAGATCCCGTCCATCTGGGTCGGCTGGTGTTCCGTAGACACGCACAGTCAGGTTGCTGTCCTCTGAAGCCTCACTTCGAGCACATTGCCACACCTGCAGCAGAGCTGCAAACCCAGCAGAAGTATCAGCACAAAGCCATGGACCTGAGGCCCGAAGTGAGACAGTGGAGCAGCCAGGACCCTGGGCGCTGGCGGTTAGCAGTGAGTTCCACGCTGCCAGTTGTAGGGGTGGGGCTGCCACCTGGCTCTCCGGACTGCCTGGCAGAGAGCACCGTCCTTCCCGAGAGTGACTGTGACCCCGATCCACCAGAATGAAAGAAAGCCCTTTCACGGGCTGATGCATGGCTTGGATCCCGTGCTGGCTGACACACTGCTCAGCGGTACTTACAGGGAAATGTTCTTTTGGTTAAATTACACACTCATCCTGTATTTATTGGGTGTCTGTTACATGTCAGGCTGGAAATGCCTTAATGAACTTGGCCATTTGGCTGCGAAAGAATAATTGCACGCTGCCCTGAACTCCACGCCAGCTCCCCATCAGTGCTTGATACGTGCTGGAGGAGTGACGCTGGTTCCTATAAACTGCGTCTCCACTGGTGCCGTTTATGCTTCCTGCCGTGGAGTTTCTTCTGCACCCTCAGCCCTTCCAGGAGTGCCAGTTACCAGTACCTACTTCTGAGAAAGTCCTGTCCCACCGCTGTTCCCCTTGAGTCAAGGCGGTACCTGTGAATGTCACTGCAGCTGCTCCCACCTTCACAAACTCCTGATTTTGCAAAAATGCATTTCTTATAGTTTTGTCGATCACATATTTCCTATACAAATATGAATGGCATGCAAAGCTAAGATTCACTGTCCTCTCCCGGGATGCAGGGCCTGTGCTTGTGTGTGCTGTGTGGTTACCCACACGCTCCTTCCCACCATGGCTGCTCTGTTGCAGTGCCCTCTCTCTGTCAGCCATGGCACGAGGCCCCGGGTCAGGGGCAGATTAGAGGTGGCAGTGGTGCCAGTGGGAGGAGTGGGAGGAGATGTATGTGCGTCAAAGAGCACGTACAAGGAGATCCCCTGTCTACTCCTGCAAGGATGTGTAGCACAAGATTTCCACCAAAGCTAACTTTAAAGCCCTCCAGGTACTTACCTGCAAGGAGAAGGTGTGTTCCTTGGAGTGACTGATTTCTTGGGAATGCCAAGTAAAAGATGTAGCAAAGCATTGCTTGCTTCCGGCATTTATTTTGTCTCTCTGCACTGTTATCCCCAGTTTCTGTGTAATAGGTTGATCTGTTAGATGGTCCTTTTAGATCTTATGTTTTTATCCAGCCAGCAACAGACACACCTGAGGAGCCCTCCACCCAGTATCTCCACATCACAGAGGCCGAAGAGGACGTGCAGGGGACGCAGGCAGCGGTGGCCGCGCTCCAGGACCTGAGATACACCTCTGAGAGCGGTGAGAGCGTGCCCCGTCTTGCTTGGCCCCTCAGATTGGGTCTTCACTGGGCACGGGGAATGAATGAGTCTGCAAATGCGAGAGGCCCAGCGGCTGAGCTACTCAGAATCTCTGACCCAGCATCCACACGGCACATGCAGTCCTGTTGGCAGCCACCCGAGGTCTCTGCCTCTTGGAACGTTCTAGAAAAGAGCTTTCTGACCAGCATATGAGATTTCCCCACATCTTAGGACATTCAGTTCTCAGAACCACTGGTCAGCACAGCAGATCTAACTCTTCTCGTGCCACAGCTGCCAAAAGTGGCTTTTCCTTATAGAGGACTGGCGGGTCGCTGCCCGTGGGTGTGGGAGCTAGCCCTGGACTCTCAGTCCCTGACTTCTCATTTGAGCACTGCCCCTCTCCACCCGTCCTCATGGCCCCGTACTCCAGGGGTCTCACTCGGAATGCCTAGGGGTTGGGCATGCAGTGGCAGTGGGTGGCTGAGACCAATATACTGGGCCTGCTTCTTCCCACATGTGCACACACACATGCTCACACACACACACACACACACACTCTACACACTCGTTCTGAAGGCACTCCAGTATCCCCCCACCCTCTTAGAGTTCAGTTCAAGCTTTTGCTGATTAGGCCAGGCCCACTGGCTCTGGCCCCGGACTGCCCAGGCTCCCCTGTCTCCTGCCTCCCCAGTCCTGGGCTGGGGTGCAGGTCTCAGCATGGCTGCACTTGTGACCCAACTGCTCCACGGCTACCTGGCACGTGGTCTGGTCCCTGCCCCTCAGTTTGTTCTCAGCCTGCCTCACCCTCCTCTTCAGGACTCCGATTCTGTTGTCTACAGAAACCCATCGGCCTCTTCAGCACTGTCCCCATACTTGCCCGATGGCGACTCACCAGGTGCTGTGCTGCTTTGCTTCCAAGGCTGTCTCAGGAGTCTGTGAACCCTGGAGGAGAAGGGGCAGAGGTAGCGTTAGGTCTTTGTACTCCTACAAGGCATCAGAGCTACGGGCTGACAGTGGGGGCCTGGTATAAATGGTCACTGAGGGAGTGAGTGCTAAGGACTCAAAGCCTCACCTCAGTAAGTCTTCCAGGCAAGTGTTTTAGTCTGGTGTTCAGAGTAGTTGGCCATAGGTACACCTGCATCACCTCCTCTGAGGGGAGTGTGAGTGGGGGTCTGGGGTGACACCTTATGAATGCAATGATACTTTATAGGGTTCATGGAGGATAGAATTACAATAGAAGGTTTGCAACCCATGCACTGTCTTTTCATAATGTGCCTTTTTCACAAAATTTTTAAAGATGCTCCTTGTATACATGGCTTTGATTTTTTGGGGGGAGGCATCCAAATACGTTTAGCATTTAGTCCCATTTGTCTGCAGACTTCCTGAGGTGCTCTTGTATTTGCCAGTCCTGCCTCAGCCACGCGGTGTGCCTGCCTTCGGCATAGAACACCTGATGTCACTGATGGACTCACTGGAGCATGGCCTGTATCGGGCTGCCATGAGGATGCAGACACTGGCAACACTTGCTGATCTTCTGCTAACGTGGAAATCAACCATACTCTCCTTTTAGGAAATTAATAACCAGGGTCAGGTGCGCTCAGGAGGACTCCAGACGGGGCAGGACGTACTGAGGAGCCGCCCTGATGGTGTGGGCTCCAGGCTCTGGGATGGTTGAAATAGAGCGTCGAGTTTGACTAGGTGTGGGGTTCTGAAGCCCCCAGGCAGACAATGAGGACATTCTCAGTTGGTCTCCCTGGGACCCCTGTCCTTTACTCGGCAGGATTTCACTGACCAGCTGCCCCGTGCTCAGGAGAAACTGGCTCTGCAGCTGGGGCTTTATGGGGCTGTCCTGTGCCACTAAGCTGGGGTTCAGGACGGAACACAGGCTTGAGCTCTGGTGTTGGCATGGAATTGACCCAGTGGCCCGGGCAGCTCTCTGTGCTTGAGTCAGCTGCACAGTGGGGATGCCGTCCTCATGCCATCGCCTCCCTGTGAGACAGGCTTGTAGAAGATGCTTTCGGAGCTGTGAAACGCTGTGCTTGTGACCTCTGCTGTCAAAACGAGCGATTGGTACCCAGAGCCCAGGGTCCTCGGGGAGCAGAGGGGCCACTGTTGCCGCCGGTCGCCTTCATGGTCTCCTGTTTGCTGCTTCCTCCCTTGCCAGGTGACCGACTGGACCCCACAGCGGTGAACATCCTCCAGCAGATCATCGAGTTGGGCACGGAGACCCACGATGCCGTGGCCTCTGTGGTTGCCATGGCGCCGGGGACCGTGACTGTTGTGAAGCAGGTGAGACCTCTCTCGATGTTCCCCGCGCCCCTCTCTGGGGCTCAGTTCCCTAGGGCAGAGTCTGGAGTGCGACTGGTCTGCTCTGGTGCGTTTTCTTCTTCCACCTGCTGTTATTACTGAACGGGGTCTCCAGGAGCCTTGTCTGCGGGGATGATTTGGGTGAGAGGCGTAGTACGTTTGAGAAATACTTCAGGAACTTGCTAGGAACTCTTCATTCCTTCCTTCAAAAGAACCCTGGGGTGGCACATGAGCTTGATGTGGACACGGTTAGACACATGTGTTGATGTGGACACGGTTAGACATGTGTGTTGGAGGAAGCAGCCCACAGAGCCTCGGGCCCCTCCAGGAAGTGGAGCTCTTAGGTGCAGCCCGAAGCCGGGAGGATTTCCCAGGGTGCTGGCCTTTGAAAGTCGTAATGTCCCCTGTTGAGATTAACACGGGAAACGGAACGGATGGGAAGAGAACGGCGAGCGTGGAGGAAGGGTCACCATGCCCATTCAGTGGTGATGCCGTTTGGCTCACTGCCCCTTCTGTCCTCTGAGGAGACCGTACCATCTGCTAGCGTGCTATGCTGGATAATTAGAGCATCCTTTTATCTTTGTACCTTAATCTCTCTACTGTCTCCTGCTTCATTTCAGGAAAGATTTAGGCTGGCTTATGCAAACAACATAAAAGCAGAAAGCAAAAAAACAGTAAACACATCAGAACCAAGGAAATATGTAACCTAGAATTCAAATTCAAGTTCCTAGGGAAAAATTGAAAAGCAAACCGTAACAGCTGTTGAGTTGCACGTTCTTCTGCTGGCTGGTGGAGTAGTACTGAGCGCCTGCTGTGGTCGTGCAGTGTTCTAGGTGCTGGGGTTCCAGGCACTGTCACTGTCGTGCACGGTACTCTAGTGGGGCAAAAGCTAACACGTAAGAAAACCAGCCCGGCGTCAGGGGTCAGTCAGAGACCGAAGGCAGTGGAGAACAAGGAAAGCAGGTGAGGGGTGGGGAGTGTGCTTTGGGGGCTGTATTGTGAGCGGTTGGTGGGAAGATCTCTGACATTCGGGTAGAAGCCTGGAAGAGGTGCGTGCTGCATATATAAATAAATACATATGCATGTATATCAGTGTACATATGTATATATATTTATGAGAGAGAGAGAGGTTCCATCCACTGGCTTGCTCCCCAAATGTTCTCAACAACCAGGATTGGACCAGGTCAAAGCCAGGAGCCCAGAACTCAGTCCACATCTCCCATGCGGGTGACAGGGACCGAAGTCCTTGAGCCATCACCTGCTGCCTCCCAGCATACGCATTAACAGGAAGCTGGATCAGAAGCAGAGCTGGGACTCACACCAGGCACTTTGATATGTGATGCAGCCATTCCAGAAAAGCACCCTGACACCCCGGAAGTACTGAATTCTACGACAGGAAACATGCAGAAGTTTACCTAGGAAAGAGCTCAGCTTTTCCCAGCAACCACACACACACACACACACACACTTTTCCCTGTGGCTCTCAGGTCTGTCTTTGATGAGTCTGGGGTAGACCCCCATGCTGTTCCACGACGGTCCCCTGAGTGTGCCCAGGGCACAATGAGAAACATGAATTTCAGGCCAAGTACTTCTCTGATGGCTTAGAATCTTCTAGTACAGTTCTAGAGTTTTGATCCACAGACCAGCCCCAGCGTCTCCAGGTGAATGTCTGCATGGTGTGTGCTTTCTTCCAAGAAGGGCCCCAGTGGAAGTCGGCAGGGGGCGGCTGCCTGGGTCCATCTGCAGTAGCCGGGGGTCCTGCCTCGGCTGAGAGCAGGCTTCCATACTCACAGGCTGAATCGCTCTGTAGCTTGTCCTCTGGCTTGTGCTCTGCAGGTTGCCTTTTGAATCTAAGCTCCTCACTTGCCCTGGGCCCAGCACTTGGTCCAGTGTTTGGGGGCCCTCGGATGCTTTGTGTACCAGACCCCTGAAGATGCTGCTGACTGTGACTGGGCTTTTCTTTCTAAGAACCGGGTTGATTTGCTGCTCCGCGGGGACGTGATGAATGGGGCATCACGGGCAGTGCGGTGATGGACAAGGTCAGGGGGTTAGCATACCACAAGATCAGGGGGTTAGGATACCACTTAGATGAGCTTCTCACACATTAGACTGGCAGAGCGACAAGGCAGGAGGAGATAAGCTTCCTGTACCACCAGCGCAAACAATTTAGGTGTCTTCACGGTGGCGCTGTCAGAGAATCTTCTTTCTCCCTGCAAACACAGGGCTGCAATCCATCATGAGAGATTGCGTTTGCAAATGCTCCCCTTGAAGGCATGTGTCCCATCCTTGCTCTGTGGCCCAGCACCTCGCTCCCAGAGGCTGCTGATGTCGGATGGATGGGGGAGCAATGGGGGGAGAGTGACGAGCAGGAGGACAGTAAACGCCCACTCCTGTAGCAAAGGGATCACAGCGTATCTGGCTCTTACAGCTGCAAGAATGCCTCTGAATTCAGCGGTCCTATCGTTTAAATTGCAGTGTTGCTGGTTTTTTTTTTTTTTTTTAAGATTTATTTTTTTATTTGAAAGAGTTACATAGAGACAAGGAGAGGCGGAGAAAGAGAGAGAGGTCTTTGATCCTCTGGTTCACTCCCCAGTTGGCCGTGACGGCTGGAGCTGTGCGATCCGGAGCCAGGAGCCTCCTCTGGGTCTCCCACGTGGGTACAGGGGCCCAAGGACTTGGGCCATCTTCTTCTTCTTTTTTTTTTTTTTTTTTTGACAGGCAAAGTGGATAGAGAGAGACAGAGAAAGGTCTTCCTTTTGCCGTTGGTTCGCCCTCTAATGGCCGCCGCGGCCGGCGCGCTATGGCCGGCGCATCGCGCTGATCCGAAGCCAGGAGCCAGGTGCTTCTCCTGGTCTCCCATGGGGTGCAGGGCCCAAGGACTTGGGCCATCCTCCAATGCACTCCTGGGCCATAGCAGAGAGCTGTCTTGAAAGAGGGCAACCGGGACAGAATCTGGCGCCCCGACTGGGACTAGAACCCGGTGTGCCGGCCCCACAGGCAGAGGATTAGCCTATTGAGCTGCAGCGCCGGCCACCATCTTCTGCTTTCCCAGGCCATAGCCGAGAGCTGGATTGGAAGTGGAGCAGATGGGACCCGAATCAGCACCCATATGGGATGCCTGCCGTGCAGGTGGCGGCTTTACCCACTATGCCACAGCGCCGGCCCTGGTGTAGCTGTTTTATTACAGAGATTGGTTACAGTTTTTTTTTTTTTTCCAGTGGGGAGATTCTATCTGCTTAATGAGTGTGTAGAGCCACTGAAACATGAAGCCTAAAGCCCCTGTGGCAAAGCAGCAGAGTTCTCCCTTCTCTGTGTGTGGGGAGCACCCTGACAGTGGGCACTGCCTGTGCTCCAATCCAAGACATGGACGGAGTTATGTCTCCATAAACGTCCACTGTGTAGGATTGACAACACAGAGGGTCTCACTTTGGATTCTCCACTTGCAACCTGTAAATCAGCAAGAAGTCAGAGGTGTGGCTGTAAAATTCCAGAGAGTTATCTTTTTAACTCAGTTATTCTTTCTTCTGCTTCTTAAGGTTTTCCACCACATTTTTTATTTGTTCCACTGAATTCTTAATTTCCAATATTTTGTTTTGATTTCTCTGTAAATCTCAATTTCATGGGCAAAGTTTTCATTCATGTCATGTATGGATTTCTTTAGTTCATGGATTTGCTTCTGATTAGCTCTAAGTGATCCTACAATCCATTTTTTGAGTTCCATCTCTGGCATTTCTTCAATCTTGTCATCGTCACATTCTAGCATTGAAGTGTTAGATTGTTTTGGGGGCGTCATGTTGTTTCATTATCTCATTTCTTGAATTGCTGCGTTTATTATTGCACATTTGTGGAGATACTTATTTTTTCCCCCTGTGGTGGCTTTTATCTTTGGACTGCACATCTGTGGATTAGTGGAGTGTCTGCTCTTTCAGTGACTACCCAGAGGTGTGTGCTGGATGTGGTCAGGGAGCTCTGAGCAGTGCTCCAGGGTGAGGGGAGAGTCCAGGGGACACCCAAGTTGGGTGTGGTCAATCTCTCTCTCTCTCTTTTTTTTAATCAGAGAGGAGGTTTGTTCTCGGTTGTGTTCTCACGTTCACCTCCTCTCCTCCAAGGAGACCAGTGCCTGGCACTAGCCCCAGTGGGGACAGTATTTGTGCTGCCACACGAACCACACAAAATATCTGTGCAGTCCTCCGTGTGAGCTCCTCCCTGTTCCACCGTCTTGGAGCTCCTTGCATGATATATTTCTAAAAGGAAGCTGGCTAGTCCCTGTACATTTCATAAATAAGTCACTTTCCACAGTTTGTTAGAGGTGCAAAGAGCAGTGGAAAAAGGAGCAAGCAGAACCAGTCAGGGGGCCTGGCACCTGCAGACCTCAGATGAGGGAGGAGGGCTCCCCTAGGGAGGGGTGGATGCTGGGGCGGAGCTGGTCCTGAGTTCCAAGATTGCTGCTTTAACTGCTGGTTTGAATTCCCCTCTCCTCCAAAAAACAAACAAACAAAAAAACCAACGTGACCGCAATTCACTCCTGTTGCTGTTTCAGTGCCCTTGTAACAGCAGTGAGGGGTGGGCACTTAAGATGAGATCGGGGGTACCACCCTCACGAGTGCATTCCAGTTGCTTTCCTGGGGGTGCGTTAGTTATCTGAGGGTGGGCTGGCACTGCCTCGCTCGCTCGCTCTCCCCTGGCTCCCGCCCCCCATCTCGCACATCTCTGAACACGTGATGCCTCCTGCATGTCGCGCTGCAAGAAGGCGTCCAGCAGACGCAGCCCCGCATCGTGGTCTCCCTGCCTCCAGAGCCACGAGCCCAGTAAAGCTCCAAGTTTATAATGTACCGCATCGCAGCATCCTGAGACAGCACGCATTCCAGCTCTGCCCGGATCAACACGCCACCTGCTCCCAGCTGCGCCCACCCCACCCTCGTCGCCTTCGGGTGTGTCCCCGCCGTGGTTGGCACTGGAAGGTGAGGTTGAGGAAGTGTGGG